AGCAATTATTAAGATCCTAAGTTTGTATACTAATTTAAAACGACACTAGATTAAGATATCCCAAAACATAAAAAGATCTAAATTTCATAACGTTTACAACGAAACATTAGCAACTGAAAGTCTTAAATAAAGTGAAATTAAGCTTAAGTAAACATGAGATGTTAGAGTGCAGAGGACGGCGATAAAAAGAAAACGAAAATATCCAAACAAATATAATTACGGGAAATTTGCACTTTAAATATTAAGGATGCAAATCGTTGAGAGCGAATGACCTACCATTCCATTTTGGATCTTCACTTAAAACCCGTTCTTTCTCTAAACTTGCAGGTAGGTTAACAGTAAATTTTGAACCAGGGTCTTGTATTTCACGAATATCAAATACGGGCAGACGTAGATCTTCGGGTCCATGGGCAAATGCACAATGTAATCCATTTTTAACGCAAGCGCCACTTTCAGTTGTCTCGTAGATACAATTTCCTGTCTTAAAATAACGCGGATGATAACGACGCTCAGTATCCCCAGCATTTCGATGAGCATAAGGGCAGCTAAAAAGTGAGAATAGCAATTGGTCGGAAAAATTAATATGACTGTTGGTTGGAGATAATTATATAACGTGTTAATTATTTATTCATATAAACATCTGACAATTAATACGACCTATAAAACAAATAAACACAAATATAACTATTCGGAGTATTAAAAATAATAACTTACTCATCTCCATCGGCGCATGACCCTGTATTTTCATCGTATTTATCACAGTAGACATCAGGATTGTAGTTGAACGTTCCATCAGGGCGCAAGACTGGGCGGCGCCTCTTCTGATTAGGAAAGTGCCAATGAAAACATGTGTACGGTCGGTGAACTTGACATTGCTGTTCTAAGAATAATGGACATTGTTGGGTCCTAAATTCGCCCAAATACCTAAGCATAAAGCTATGAAAAAACATACTTAGAATGGCGAGGCTTTTCTTGCCGCGACTCCAAAAGAGAGGTCACAGGAATATGAATATTTGTATCCTTTCTAATCACCATCATCGTTACTTCCACGACAAGCCCCAACCATTTGGTGTACACGCATCAAAGGGGAAAATAACAGAGGAGAAAGAATCTATCACGGGGTTCCTCGGGTAACATACAACCTTGCAAGAATTTATAGAAGCGCATTCAAACAAAGCCACGTGAATAAGTGATCTGTGTCCTAACTAATTAAATTATATTATTTTTTTGAATTTCTTTTGGAAATTAATTTTATTATGGTTATTATATAACA